TCAGAATAGGAACAGACAGACAGCCACACACACACATATGTAAATCTATATGCAGAAATGTACACCTTGCATGAGAATCTAGTGTATATTACCAGTGCTTGAGTAGTGATGATGTTATAGATGTTTGCATTTGCTAACTTTGTTTCTATTTTTCTTCTAGCTCTTTGGCCGCCCACAGTGGCTGACCGTCAGAGGGCGTTCACATTGTTATGTAAATAAGGTGTTTTGCTTACTTAATCAAACGGTACCTAAAAAAAATGTTCTCTCTCATCTGCTAACTGCAAAAGGGAAGAACCGTCTTCTTGCTTTACTTCTTCCTTTCACAGGTAAAGTAGTTTGCTTCTATTGAAATTATATCAGGTTATTCAAGTGCTGGAAAGCAAAGGTTGTCAAATAAGAACTGGTTGCCAGGTAAAATCCGTTCTCACTGCAAATGAAGGTGAGAACTCAAATTCAGTAAATTATTTCTACTAGACATGACACTTTTTTTTTATAAATAGTTTGACATTCAGTCGGCAAAAGGGTGGTAATGAAGAAAAGTTATATCTGCAGGTTGTGTTGTAGAATGTGGAGATGGCTTACCAGACATATATCATTCTTGCATAGTGGCTCTTCATGCTCCAGATGCTCTGGATTTATTAGGAAACCAAGCAACTTTTGACGAATTGAGAATTCTTGGTGCTTTTCAATTCGTATATAGGTATGCAGAAGTTGGTTCAAGAATGTTTTATTGCCAACATTTTTAAAAAAATAACTAAATCATAATTTGTAAACTCTATCTTGGCAGTGATATTTTTCTTCATCGCGACAAAAGTTGAATGCCCAAAAACCCAGCAGCATGGAGTGCCTGGAATTTCCTGGGTAGTACAGACAATAAAGTGTGCTTAACATACTGGCTCAATATACTTCAGGTTTGTTTCTATTTCGCACTAGTATGATATAGGTACTTTTAACTTTTAAGTATTAGGAACGCACTCTCAATCTCTAAATTATTACATGCAAATTGTCTGAATATTCAAAATATCACAAGAGTTTCCACTAGGACAATTAATATAATCTGGAGAAATGACAGACTTTCTGAAATCTGATATTGCAATATGAAACAAAGAGTACTGCAGCAGATATTTTACCGAAAAATTAGGTGATAATATGAATGCTGCCTACCTAGATACTTTACAAAATTGCATTCTGAAACTGATATTTTCTTTATGAATGTATGACCGGGTGTATAAAAGGTTACAACTAACCATTTTCGATGAAATTTCTGAATATGCAGAATTTGGATGAAAGAAGTGAACCCTTTCTAGTGACTCTCAATCCAGAACATACTCCTAAAAATACCTTGCTTAAGTGGACAACTGGTCATCCAGTCCCCTCTGTTGCTGCATCTAAGGCATCACTTGAGCTTGATCAAATCCAAGGGAAGAGAGGAATTTGGTTCTGTGGAGCATACCAAGGTGAGCATTATCAAAAACAAATGGAGGAGTCCACTTTTGCTTTACTTTTCTTTTCTTTTTTTATTACAGCATGTAATTTAGAAACAAAGATTGATCAAATTGTTCACATATTACTTTTATTTTGTCAAATATATGCTTATGCTTTTGTTTTTTGTCATTGAAAAATGGATTGGCTTCACATCAAACTCGACTGTTTCACGTTTTTCCTCTAGTTTGCTGTAATATTAATTGACTCTAAAGTACATTCTTCCTTTCAGGTTATGGCTTCCATGAAGAAGGACTAAAGGTAGCAAGTTACTTCTCATCAACTTTGTTTCTAAACTACTTCCCTATCATTATTTTGAGGCTAGGATGCAGCAGTTATAAGAAATTGGACATTTATAATCACTGATTTATGTTTCCTTTTTGTTTTTTTTTGAGTTAATTGTACCATTTTTATAAGTGAAGTATGCGTTTTCCCAGGCTGGCATGGTTGCTGCACATAGTTTGCTGGGAAAACATTGTTCTATACTGAACAATCCGAAACACATGGTACCTTCTCTTATGGAAACAGGTGCTCGTCTGTTTGTGTCCAGATTCCTGGAGCATTATATATCGACTGGTAGTGTAACGTGAGTTCTTTGAAACGACTATGTGTTTTCTCTTGTCATTTTTGCCATGTGTTTCTGGCATTGGTACATATATTCTTCAAACCTGATAGTAGGCCTATTCTTTATCAACAACCCAAGACCATAGTAGATCTTAGGCATATAATTATTGTCAACAAGTCATGCATAAACTGAAATTTCAGTTCTATTCTTGTTTTCAACTTGAATAATACTGCTCCTCTTCACTGCTAAAAGCCATGAGTCTAAAGCACTTGATTCGAACATTTGATGCTTTATTGAGCATTCCAGGCTGAGAATTCTTTGGTTTTATAGTAACAATCATCTTGTAGTAGTATTTTATTAAAGGGCTTCGTTGAATCATCAGTTTGTTAGAGGAAGGAGGAACAATCTTTACGTTTGAAGGAAGACCGAGAAAAAATCCTCTAAAATCAGTTTTAAGAGTGCACAAACCTCAGTTTTACTGGAAGGTACTTGAATTAATACTTTGAGACAGTGATCCTTAATACCAAGGAACATAATTGTTTGTTATACGCGATATGATCCCTCGTCTGATGAAGAAAATGTTTTGTCAGGTGATGACACAAGCTGATCTGGGTCTAGTAGATGCATTTATCAATGGGGATTTCTCTTTTGTTGATAAAGATGGAGGACTTATAAATCTTATCATGGTAAGACAATTAATTTGAGATTTGTGCTTATGTTGGTATTTACCTCAAGAAAAAACTTCTCATTGAACTGACTCTGCAGATTCTTATTGCCAATAGAGATTTGAAATCTTTCATTTCAAAACCAACTAATAAAAGGTATATTATCAATCATAAACCAACTACAATATGCATCATATGGTTTTATACAAAATTTAATTTATCTTTTGCATCTATCTATTGTTGGATGCAGGGGTTGGTGGACACCATATTTGTTTACAGCTGGTATAGCATCTGCAAAATATTTTTTCAAGCATGTTTTGAGGCAAAATACTTTGATACAAGCTCGCAGGAATATATCCCATCATTATGACCTGGTAAAAGTTTTAAACCTCCTATTTCTACTCTTTTAGATTGATATTCAATCTATGACAGAAGCGAAGGAATTTACAATTCTCTCTTGCTTTTTGTTTATAGAGTAATGAGCTTTTTGCTCTATTCTTGGATGAAACAATGACATACTCTTGTGCAGTGTTTAAGGTAAATTACTATCATAACTTTTCAGTATTTAGTGGCTTCAACTTGAGGTTGTTGTTATGTCGATGTTAACTTCCAGAGGGATGATGAAGATCTAAAAGTTGCCCAGTTGAGGAAAATATCCCTTTTAATTGAAAAGGTGATCCTTCTACTAACACTCATGATCAAGTTTGTTGTTTCATCGGGATATATATAATAAGGTTTTTGTATATGTTTTGGTTTGATGAACTAGGCTAGAATCAATGAGAGCCACGAAGTTCTTGAGATTGGATGTGGTTGGGGAAGCTTAGCTATTGAAGTTGTCAAAAAAACTGGATGCAAATACACTGGCATTACTTTATCAGCGGAGCAATTGAGATATGCAGAAAAGAAAGTGAAGGAAGCTGGACTTGAGGTATCCATTTAACAAATGATATCTGCTCATCCAACTTATTCAACTATTAATCTCCTCATCATAATTTGACACCAGGATCGCATTAGATTTCAACTCTGCGATTATCGGCAACTTTCAGGTTCCAATAAATATGATAGAATAATATCATGGTGAGTTCTTTTATCAACTTTTTTAAGCCTATGCAACATGAATTTGACAAGTGGAGTTTACATTAAGCATTTTAAGTTAATCACTACTAAGTAATTGAAGGCTATGTAAAATATAACGTTCTTGATTCAGGAAGCTGCCTCTAGCTGGTAAATAATAATGAGTAATGATTGAAAAGATAGAAAAAAAATAGAGAGAGAAAGATGAAAAGATAACACTAGAATATGTCACTAGCCTCACTTCTTCCAAGACAACTGAGAAATTCTAGAAAAGCTAGCACCTAGGATTGTGTTTATGCCTCAAATGCTTAAGTAGTTTTGCGAGTCAGATTGAAGTTATCCCTATTTAGAAGTTTAGCTAAAGGCTTTCTGATCAAAACATAGCCTCTGAAAAACCTTCTATAGTAACTTAAGAGACCAAAAAGAGGACATCAAGGCATGACAACATAGGAAAATTATAACCTTTTATCCAAAAAGAATGGAGCCCTAGTAGCCCGTTGATTAGAGAGCTCAGAGAACAGCTAATGCTCCTATAACACTCCTATTAAGAGATATGGGCAACTAGAACTTCTATTTATTCTAATCATAAACTGGGACAAAAAAAAAAGATGATATATCAGTAGATAAAGCGATGAATCAGAGACGAGTAGGAAAACCAATATACTTGTCATGCACAAGACTACACACTGTTTATATAGTAAGTGTTATAAGTTAATTCATGTGCGAGTTTAAAGAAATACACTTATAGGCAATCTACAAAGTGTTGTATTACCTAAAAAGGTTACATAGGAAAAGGATCATATGAGAAAGAATGAGAGGTTGTTTCTAGAAATCTATACGGATGCAGACTACACAGAGCCAATAGAGGACAAAAACAGGTTGTACATTTCTTGGAGGTAACCTGATTACTTGGAGGAATAAGAAGTAAAAAGTAGTTGCAAGATTGAATGCAGAATTATAATTGCGAGTAATAGCACAAAGGATATGTGAATTATTATGGCCAAAGAAAATCTTAAAAGATCTGGAAATTAAGTGGAACAGCTCATTTGTTTGTACTGTAACAATAAATCTATTGTAAGCATTGCCCATAACCTGTTACAGCATGATATAATGAGGTTGATAGACACGACAGCAAGAAAAAAGCTAGATAATGGTTTAACATGTACCCTATACATGTAAACTAGTTTACAACTTGCAGATGTGTTGACCAAAGACCTAAATAATCTAGTATTCCTGACTATCATTTAAAAGCTGGGATGGACAGTATCAATTCCCCACCTTGGGAGGAGGGATATTAAAGAGAGTGCATTATATGTAAGTAGATTAAAAAACATTAGAGCAAATCGCATCTTATGCAATTAATGTAATTAATAGTTCATTTTCTTTTCTATCTTAAAAAATTTTTATAAATAACTGTGATATTCAATAAAATACACATTTAACCATTTTTGACATATCCAAATAGTTATGTGTGAACTTATAAATAGCAAACTCTGTTTTCGGATTTTCAGAATTGTCTAGCTGTTAAAGAGTTCTATAAACATCTGGGTCGAAATCCAAAAACAAGAGACCTACAAGAGACCCATGAGCCACTGAGCTAAAACTGTTCGGGCGGATTATGTTTTTAACTTAATAAACTTTTAAATCAAGATGACATATGTCGGCTTAAAATATTCTTTTTATGATTCCAAGCTTTTCAAACTCCAAATTTATCTAAAATAGATGTAAGTTCAGTAGTATCTCTATGAATACTAGTATAATTCTGTTCCAAAGCATCACTCTCAAAATACCTCAACCACTTTGCTCTACTCCTTTCTTGTACTGGGTTTCTCTTCCAGATTTCTTTATCATTTCTGTTTTCTAGTTTGCGTGTACAGCAATCAAAATAGTCTGTCAGATCCCAAAACATACCTTCTGCACTATTTAGGGACAGAATTATCCTTGAAATATTGTTTATATACTTCGAATTAATACTGCTTATATCACGTTTATTCAAAACTAGGAAGGAGAAATATGACTCCAGATATGGCTTAGGTACCATTAATCAACAATATTTCAAACTCAATCACTGGATTTTTCACTTTATTATATAAAATAATTGATGGTTTAACTTGTAGAAAATCATTCAATCTACTATTTATATTGTATCATTAGTGGTCTCACCTATAGTCAGTATTTGGGGGAGATCAATCATGACTTCCTTACCCTTCTTTACCCAACTTGACATGGGGGCGACGATTCCCTCTTAGTCAATTCTTCATTTGATACCAACATATCATGGCTCATGATCTAAGTGTAGAATGGGAGTGAGAATGAGCCAGAAATGTAAAAGGAAGAAGGAAACAACTAAACAAACACAAAAATCAACCAAGCACTCTTGACCATAACAAAATTAACTTCTAACAATAAGAAAACTTTAGCTCACTTCAACCGTCACCCTTCTTCTGTTCAAGCTGGTGCAGTCCTAACACATTGCTAACTTCTTCAGTTTGAAAACTAATAATCCAACAGTTTTTAGTCTAAACTCCTTGCTTAAACTCAACTTGCTGTATAATGAGACATTACCATGTCATGTGACTGTGCAGTGAGATGATAGAAGCTGTTGGCCATGAATACATGGAAGAATTTTTTGGCTGTTGTGAATCTGTGCTGACAAAGGATGGCTTTCTTGTTTTACAGGTATTGGTAAAATGGGAAGAACCATCAAAAATGTTATCATATCCTTTTTTGTCAGTTTGTTTGTTTACAAATTTTAATATATGTTTGTCGTTTACCATCAATTTGTTTTTTGCAATAATCAGTTCACATCAATACCAGAGGAAAGATACAATGAGTACAGGCTAAGTTCAGATTTTATCAAGGAATATATTTTTCCTGGTGTGTGTATACCTTCGCTAAACAGGATAACATCAGCCATGTCTACAAGATCAAGACTATGGTATAATTATCATATAAATGGTTCTTCTTATATACATATAGGTATACACACACACATATGTAACATTTTCTTCAAACTTGACCAACTTGTTAAAAAAAATACAGGGTGGAGCATGTGGAAAATATAGGAATTCATTACTATCAAACATTGAGATATTGGAGAAAGAACTTCTTGGAGAAGCAGAGGTAAGAAGAAAGAACAATCTCTTTTCTCTCTCATCAAACCAAGGATGATAAGAAAGCTGTTAAAAGTGGATTTGGGTCTAAATTTGCAGTGAAATATATGCATTAGGATTCAACGAAAAATTCATTAAGACGTGGGAATATTACTTTGACTACTGTGCAGCTGGTTTCAAGTCTTGTACGCTTGGAAATTACCAGGTATCATCTATGGAGTATTAACACATCTTCAACTATTAGGATTAATTTGTCACAGCAACAACCCCAATGATTTGGTAGAGAATCAGGAGAGTTTGTAAATTTAAATAAAAATCCTATGGTATATTGCCTATGTATTAACTTCAATACAATATTGCTTGACCTTCTTTCTTTTTCTTTGGCAACCTCAAAGTTCCAGCCTCTTTCCATTTTTTTTCCTTTTAAAACTTATGTAACTTTTATCTCTGACTAACTTTATACTTTAGTGTTTCTAATACTTAGTTTAAAGGTTAATTTGATATCTTATTTTCATTCGACTGTTTTAGAAGCAATCAAAATAAAAAACTTAAAGTTGAAATTTAAATAAAATAATCAAAATTGAAACTCTCTTAATTAAAAACTATCTAAATATATTTTTTAAAGTAATAAATATATAAATCATTTCAAATAAAATTTACAGCAAAAAACTTACTTTTTTTTATTGTTTAAAATACATTTCTCTTATTTATATAAAAATTATAATTTATCAAATGAAAGCAATTCAAGTGGAAAATTAAAGTAATAGCATTTTGATTTATTTGTATAGTCTAGTAGTAAGACAGAATTTGAATTTGAAACTGTTTTTTTCTTACTCATTTTTAGGTTAAATTTTACGAAAATTATAATTTTATATTTACATATTTTTATAAACTAGGATCCAAATTACAAATTTATATTTTGCAAAAACAGAAAATTCATTCTCCATTATTTCTCAAAAATTCCAGATTATTATTTACAGATTTTAACAAATTTTAAGAGGTAATTTTGCATTTGCAGATTCAATTTGTTTAATTGAAAATTTTCTTAGTTTTAAGGTCCAAAATCATAATCTAATATTGCCAAAAACAGAAAATTCACTCTCCCTTTTCGTCAATTCACGATTTCTTAATTTATTTCTTGTCATTTCTTTTGTCAATTTGGTTTTTTCCAGAAAATTCACTAGTGAAATTTTTAATTTTTCCTTACAAGCATCCCAAAAGTTTAATAAATTAAAATTAGAATTGAAACATGCATCAAAACCATTAAGCAGAATTAGAAACCCAATGCACAGAAAATTTAAAAGCTTTTCCCGGCAGTTTTAATGCGCACGGTCAGTGAGGAACCCAGAAAATTTGCCTTTCCCGGTGGTTTTGGGTGCAGGGAAGGGTAACTGGTGCTAAACAGAGGAAAAATATTAATAAATCAATCCCAAAATTATCCAAGTTTTGGGTTATTAGTCAATTGAGTTGCTATATAGTAAACATAAAGTACCTATTGTTCGATTAATAACCATTAACCCAACTTATGTTGACCATCGGCATATTACTACAAAGCAACTATTTCTGTAAATAAATAATCCAACACTAATTGTATTATTTACAAGAAACAAGTAATAAATTAAATAAATCATAAGCAAACAAATATGACAAATTTCATGTATGATTACATAAGTTTTTTTTTGCTTTAAGTATGTTTTGCTTTCACTTATCTTAATGGTATCAGAAAATTGGCTAGGTTTATAGCACTGCGAATTATTTTTGTTATTTGGACATGATACAGAAGCCCAGAGAGAGAGAAGTGAAGCACTCATATTATCATGAATCCTATGTCTAAATCGGTAAAAAAATCTCCTTCAGAAAGTTTGAATCAAGAAATTTTAATATCAATCAAGAAAATCGTTATAAAGATACTAACCTATAACAGATGTGAACCTACATCAACTAGAGCAAAACTACTAAGAAGAAAAATAAAATGTCTGAAACTGAACCTTACATTTTTAATGTCGTTTCCTTATAAATCTCAAGATCACCTCTGCATTCTGCATGATAAAATTGGAAACTTGCACAGCAACAACTCGAGGATGTAAGCTGGGGCACAAATTGGATGAAGCTACAAAGAGCCAAAAATTATCAAATAATCAGAAATAAATTTAAGTTATTGCTGCATAACAACAAAAACTAAGTAGATACTTTTAGATGTCTATCCAAACAAATCAACACAAATAGTCAGTCATGGTAACCTCATGCTAAGCAAATTCTAACACTGAATTAAAAGAATAAACAAAGAGAGCTAATAACAAAGAAGAAAAAATGTGATATCATAACTCTTGGTCCTAAAGAATTATGATGTCTTTTCAACTTAATACGTTTTAAAAATTACAGCCCAAAATTTAAGATTAAAAATTTCACTAAGAAGAAAATACACATTGATTTTGATGATTGAGAGGTGGTAAATAGATGGCCTAAGTAAGATAGTTCGATAAATAGTTGGCTGATCAGTTATACTATAGCTTTATCTAGATAGTGTACCAACTTTATCATTTATCACATAACATGCACCATAAGTGCAAATTGGTAATAAACTTAGTAATTCAAAGCTAGAAAGGACAAGTCAATTCAGACCAACAAATTATGCATGAAGGAGTAATTATTGGCAAGAGACTGGTCTAAAGAATTTTCTAGAAGAGACAGGTGAATAACGAAGAGTGAGATTCTCACAATTATAGAACTGAAAAACCCTTTACTTTGATACTATTTTGAATCATCGGGTGAGTAACAATTATCTTAATTTTTTAAATGGATAGGAGTGAGTAGTTGTATTATCTAGATTCTAACAAAGGTAAACACAGCTTCCAATTTAAGCCTACCTGATATATTATCATTTGGCAATGTCTACATTTATAAGCTATCAAATTCTAGTATGAATAATCTCGAAGATGCCCATGATTCTTTTAAGCCTGGTGAGTATTTCCAACTAATCATGCCTTCATCTCCAGTTTGGAAGACCAAAAGCAGGAAACTGCTCTCTTTGCATAATCCCTCTTTCCTCCTCACTGATCTTAAAAAATTATACACTCTGGTAAAGCTAAACAAAATCTGATGCACATTGTCAAAAAGTATAGTAGCATGGTTGAAAGTGCATTTGCAGAAAAACTAGGTGATTTCTACGAAATGCATACTTTGTTCAATGGAAAAATTTAAGCCTAAAATTAGCATATTTGGTGGAAAGCCAATGTTAATTCTCGGTAATATTTGCCACACTTTTCTTTCCTATCAAACAAACCTCAGAAAGCATTCCTGGTAATACTTTCACACTTTTAGTAGAGTGAAAGAGAGCAGATCTACATGGTGGAAGAACAGATTTACCTAATGGGAGGCTGAAGACAGCCAAGTACTTGGGACTTCCTCCACTCAGGTCTCTCTGTTTCCTACCCTAGCCCTCGGACCCCTAAAGTTTTCTCTCTGCCTTACATTTCCTCTTCCACCTCTCGATCTTTCATCTCTTTACCCAGAAGTTGAAAGCCCAAAAAAAGGAACCCACATAAAACCCTCGTCTAATCTGCCCTCCGTTCTCCCTCGTTAATCCCTCAACCAAAGTTTTTTCTCTTTATTTCCAAATTTTCTTTGTTAACAAACTCCCGAAATTCTAAAATCTTCCCCTCTCCTTCAGGATTCTCTTTCCCTCTAAAAGCACGTCTCTCTTTCCCACTTCTCCACCCCTTCTATAGCCGCGAAATTGTCCTTTTCGCGTGCTCATTGATTTATTTCATCTTCTTCTTCCTAAGTATTATCTTCCACGAAGCGGTCTACCGGTGTTACCGCACATGCTTGTCTACTTCCCTGCCTTCGCTTTTACCAGATGCTCCAGTTTGCAGTTATGGTCACGCACATTGAGCTCTGATCCCTTCGTCTTCTTCTTCTTCCACGGAAACTCGGTCTGCTCCGACCAACCTTTGCGTCCTCTGCCCCTTTTCTCCATCTTCTTGGGACGCTCGCTCTTTCTTGGTCGTTACCCAAAGGCAGTAAGAAACAAATATTCAAAATTCAAAAAGCATTGCCATTTAAAGGAAAGAAAATGCTGAGGCCGGGCTCTGTAAGGCCAGATTGGGTTTGTATAGAAGGCCTCGTTTGGGCTTTAATTGGGCTCCGGTTAATAAACATATATAGAATTGGCCTTTGAAAAATGGGTTTTATTTTAGAAATGGGTATTTGATTTATGAGAATGGGTTAAAAATACCAGTTAGTAGTACATAAGAATTGAGAAAAGGGGTCGATGGCTTTTTGGTTAAAAAGAAAATTGATTTGAAAATTTCCACCTACCAATTAGTAGATACATTTTCAATTTTTTCTACAACTGTAAAAGTTGAAACAAAAAATTGATGTAGATCAAATCAGTCGTGTGTATAAAAAAAGGATAATTTTAGGATTTGCCTGGTATTTTCTTTTAGAAAATTTAAAATAATGCATATCAAATAATTATTAAAATTATTCTTTTTCATTTGAAATTCTTCTAGCGTATTCTGACATTTATGAAATTTAAGCTCATGATAGTAGTACATAAAAATTTCTAACTTTTTTTAAAATTTTAATCTTTTCTAATATAATTAAATAAACAACTTACCATTTATTTAATTCTTCCAAACTTGCAATTGAGAGATAAACAACTGAACCATCACAGTCTAGCTAAAATTGAAAGTTATCTTTTATGTAAAGATAAAAAAAAAAAAAAAAGTCTTGATGATTACCCACCGGTACTACCAAAAATATTTAATGGAAGCATAAAGCAAGTGTCTCTAAGGGCAATACAGTTCTTTCATTTATGATATCGTCATGACTTCTATCTATGAAACTATCATGATTGTTGTTTCCGAAGATAATGGAATAATATTTTTCATTTACGGCCATGATGGAGAACATTTCTCAGGATAAATGAAGTACAAAGATTCCAATTTCGAGAGAGAACGTCTCAAAATCATCTTGGCATTTCACTTGAACAAAAAATAATATACGTATATACGGCTGAAGAAAAAGAACGAAACACTAACTATCAAACCATCAAATCGCCCGGCAGGAAAGCAAAACTGTCACTGGCAATACATTAGTAAAACTGCGCTGCATTAACGGTCAAGTAAGCAGTGCAGCTGACAAAAAATAGGTGCAATGATGCACTTCCATAATTTCTCTAGTTGAAGTGAAACTCTGTCGAAACAGAAAGCCAAAATGAAAATCTTGTCTGAA